GGGTGGTACGTGAGGACGAGGGGGATTCTTTTTTGGTTTTTATTGCGTGGACGGGGTGTGAGGGATGAGGTGCGGGAGATGTGGGAGACACGGTTGAGGGCGTTCTCGACCACCGAGGAGGGGAAGTTACGGTCCTTGAAAAACGAGGACAACTGAGATGTACGGGAGTGGAATGCCTCATCCTGGGAGCAGATGCGGCGGAGGCGAAGGAATTGGGAATAGGGGATAGCATTTTTGCAGGAAGGTGGGTGGGAGGAGGAGTATTCTAGGTAGCTGTGGGAGTCGGTGGGCTTGAAATGAATATCGGTTTCGAGGTGGTTGCCCGATATGGAGACAGAGAGGTCCAGGAAGGGGAGAGAGGTGTTAGAGATGGTCCAGGTAAATTTAAAGTTGGGGTGGAAGGTGTTAGTGAAGTGTATGAACTGTTCGAGCTCCTTGTGGGAGCACGAGGCGGCACCGATACAGTCATCAATGTAACGGAGGAAGAGGTGGGGTTTAGGGCCGGTGTAGGTACGGAAGAGGGATTGTTCCACGTAACCTACAAAGAGGCAGGCGTAGCTTGGGCCCATGCGGGTACCCATGGCTACCCCCTTTGTCTGTAGGAAGTGGGAGGAATTGAAAGAGAAGTTGTTGAGTGTGAGGACGAGTTCGGCTAAGCGGATGAGGGTGTCAGTGGAGGGGGACTGGTCGGGCCTGCGGGACAGGAAGAAGCGGAGGGCCTTAAGGCCGTCTGCATGGGGAATGCAGGTGTAGAGGGACTGGACGTCCATGGTAAAGATGAGGTGTTGGGGACCGGGGAATTGGAAGTTCTGGAGGAGGTGGAGGGCGTGGGTGGTGTCACGGACATAGGTAGGGAGTTCCTGGACCAAGGGGGAGAAAATGGAGTCGAGATAGTTGGAGATCAGTTCGGTGGGGCAGGAGCAGGCGGAGACAATGGGTCGACCAGGGCATTCAGGTTTGTGGATTTTGGGAAGGAGATAGAAGCGGGCAGTGCGAGGTTGGGGAACGATGAGGTTGGAGGCCGTGGGTGGGAGGTCACCTGAGGTGATGAGGTTGTGGATGGTTTGCGAGATGATGGTTTGGTGCTCAGGGGTGGGGTCATGATCAAGGGGGCGGTAGGAGGAGGTGTCGGAGAGTTGGCGTCCGGCCTCGGCGATGTACAGGTCAGTGCGCCATACTACAACTGCACCTCCCTTGTCCGCGGGTTTTATGGTGAGGTTGGGATTGGAGCGGAGGGAGCGGAGGGCTGCACGTTCTGCGGGGGAGAGGTTGGAGTGGGTGAGAGGGGTGGAGAGGTTGAGGCGATTGATGTCTCGACGGCAGTTGGAGATGAAGAGGTCGAGGGAGGGTAGGAGGCCTTGGGGTGGTGTCCAGGAGGAGGGGGTGTGTTGGAAGCGGGAGAAGGGGTCAGTAGAGATCTCTTAGCCTTATCTAGTCTGACTGACATGTGACTGGACATCTCACTTTAACTGCCCTCTGAAATGGTCTTGCAAGCAACTCAGTTCAAGGAGTGTTGAGGGGTGTGGAACAAAAGCTGGCCTTACCAGTAACACCCATATCTCATGAAAGAATGAAGTTACAAAGTGAAGGATGCAGTATTTGATAGTACAACACATTGTTGAACCGTAATGGCAAGGAATCGCACAACTCTGTTGGATGGAAGAGGATGCTGCAGTGTTTAGATAAAAATGGATGCTGGAGTCTTTAAATCGAGAGCATCACCATAGTGCTGGCTGTTGCATGATGGTCAATTGTTCAGAATTCGATTGATATGGGGAAGGGGAAAGATGTTACTTTGTAGAGATGGGGACAATTGGCGTTCTGGGATGCTGGTGTGTTGGGATTATGAAGGTTATACAGCGCAGAAGCAGGTCATTGGATGTAATTAGTCCATTTTTTTATGCTCTCCTCGAGCTTCATCCCATTTTATATAAATCTGACTTTGTAACTATCTATATTCTGTTGCTTTACATGTTGTCTAGCTTTCCCTTAAATGCAGCTACATTGTTCACTTCATTATTCATTCTGTATGGTATAGATTTTCACATTCTCATCACTCTCTGGGCGAAGACCGTTCTGATGAATTCCTGATTACGTTTCTTGGTGACTATCTGGTCATGGTGGCATCTGGTTCTGCTGTTCACAATTCCTCTGTATCCACTCTATCCAAAATTTTCACTGTTGTAAAGATCTCTCATTAGGTTACCTCTGTTGCCTGGTTACCGCCCTTGACAACAGTTATTGGCTTGGCACAAAGAGGAAAAGAGTCTAATCTGTATCAAATAACCACTAACTTTATTAGTTTAGTTAAACCAGACGTACAGTTCATGCCATTTAGTTAAGAAAAGATTAACAGTAGGTATGCAATTCATACAAGGCTAAAATACAAGCGCATGTCCATTCGTTTTTCAATGACATTCCTGGAACAGTCAACAAAATTTAAAGGCTAATACCCAAGAATAGAAGCTCATGTTGGCCAAGTGTTTTCTCCCAGGTCTTGGAGTCCTCTCCACATTTCTAAGCACGGGGCCCATGACTTTGCAAAGGTTGCTCTCTAGAGTGTTTGCTGATGGCACACAAAAATCCTTCATCTTTATCTTGGAGATAGCAAGAACTGCCGATGCTGGAGTCAGAGACAATGCAGTATGGAGCTGGAGGAACACAGCAGGCCAGGCAACATCAGAGGAGCAGGAAAGTTGACATTTAGGGTCGGGACCCTTCTTCAGACCTGAAACGTCAACTTTCCTCCTTCTCTGATGCTGCCTGGCCTGCTGTGTTCCTTTACTTTTATCTTTCTTCCTTATCCCCAAACTGTGGTGTCTTGTTCCTGTTGGTTCTTGGCACATCAGACAAGCTGGTGTCTTTCCACTATAGGCTCACTCCAAGGACACCTTTAGGATTACCTCATTACCCTTCCACCAAATAGTGATTTCCCCCTTATGTCATCCTCAGAGCTGAACAAGCTCAAACTGGCTCAAGCCAGCAGCTAGGGCTCTGGTAACTTCAGTTTACAGTTACTAGCCTTATGCGTGAGCGGCCCCTGGCCAACATCTCCCTATTCTTTCAGCAAGGTACAAGGAACCCTGCCTGTCAATTCTTTCCTGATGTGTATACTCCTAAATTCTGGTATCATCCTTGTAAATCTTCTCTACACCCTCTGTATGTCCTTTTTATAATAAGTTGGCCTGAACTGTGTACTGAACATTAAGGACTGTTTAGTCATTCATGTTTCAATTCTGTATGATTAGAGACGAAGCTTAGTGATTGGCTTGCTTTCTTTTTGATAAGTTGTGGTACAGTTTTTAATTATTGAAACTAGTGTATAAAAACATGCCAAATAAATCAGATAGAGATGATGAAAATTCAAGAAAAGGATAAGTTAAGAAATATGAGAAAAATACAACTGAATCACATGATCATGCTGCAAGCTGTTACAATGACAAGTTGCATTTAAATGGTGCCTTCACCATAATAAAACATGAAGGTGGCTGAGGCTACCCTAGCAGATGAATGAAGGAAGACTTATTTCTGTTGGGATCAGGATACACACTGTGGGAATAAGGTGTTCCATTCCATTTCCTGATAAACTGGCACCAGTATCACAGCAGGAAGGAGCTATAACACTGGAATGGACGGCTCTTGAACTCAGCAGGCATGCTCCAGAGTCAGGATGGAAAAAGATAAAACAGCATTTGGATAGAGAATGATGTTACTGTGCTGGGATGGAGGCAGTTGTTGCACATTTAAGAGGGGAAAGCTGAAGTAATGTTGGGATGGATAGAGAAACTGCCGCATAGTGCTGGAGAAGGAAGCTCCATTGCTGTATTGGAGATGGTGGCTGCATGTCAAAGATGGAACAGGATTCTGCATTACTGAACTAGAGCAGCTGTTGTATAGATGAACCAGAGAAGGTTGATGCATTGCTGAGCTGGAGCAGGTTGATGCATTGTGGAGCTGGAGCAGGGTGCTGCATTGCTGAGTGGCAGCAGGGTGCTACATTGCTGAGCTGGAGCAGATTGATGCATTGCTAAGTTGCAGCAGGTTATTGCGTTGCGGAGCTGGAGCAGGGTGCTGCATTGCGGAGCTGGAGCAGGTTGATGTGTTGCTGAGTTGCAGCAGGATGCTGCGTTGCACAGTTGTAACGGAATGCTTCAGTGTTTGGAAGAAAGCTGTAGCTGTATTGAGATGAAAGAAATTAATGCACTGTTATGATGGAGATTGATACTACAGTGTTGGATTGGAGATGATAGAGTGTTTGGATAAAGTATAATGGAAGCATAGTTATCCCATTTTATCCATTTTGACCCCTCAATACAGTCCCATGTCTCAGCACTTTGTCCATAGCCTTGGAAATTACATTACCCTTTTGTTAACTGCAAAGGGCATTTCTGTCTTTCGTGCCCTTTCCAGGCAGTTCAAAACAAAGTTCCACCACAGACCATGTGAAGAAATTTGTTCCTCAACTCATCTCAAATCCTTCCAATTACTTTGTCTTCTGGTTATTGGCACCTTTATGAGGGGAAATGGATATTATCCACGTCTCAATTCATTTTATGTAAATCAGTTAAATGCTCCATTGGCTTCTTCTATCCAAAGGAAACATCCTCAGCTCGTCCAGTCTCTTTTCATATATAAAATGCACTGTTCTTGATTGCATCCTACTTCTGGAATTGTACATAGCACTCTAACTTTGGCCTAACACATGTTTTATACAGTTCTAGTTTTGCCTCTCTGCACTTGCATGCAAGTGCAATGTTAAGTGGGTTAGCATGCTATTACGTTGGGATTAGTAAGGATATTACTTTGTGGGAAAAAGAAACACTGCACGTGATTTGATGAAAGCCATTATTGCTTTTCGGGAAAAATAAGAAGCAGTAATTTGAAGACAGTATGAAAGAATTGGGTCATAGTAACAGAACACCAAGTGAATGGTACGACAATGCGTTCACGTGATTGACACGCCACAAAAAATGCTAATAATTTCAATTTTGTTTCCACAGAAAGCCATTGCAATTTTCAGGCCAGCTCCTGACTGGGGTCCATTCTTGGAACAACACCGAGGGGAGCAATACAGAAAACAACAGGCGCCTATAGACAGATTCCTCAAATCCAAGATTTCTGTTATTTCTGCGGGGAGCAAAAAGAAATAAGAAGGCTTTAGGGATAGGGAAGGAAGTTTTCAAGTATAAATGGGCAGGACATGACCCACACACATTGCTTTCCTTGGCAGTTAGTGGCCTAACTACAGATCCTCGATGGAAATTTTAGGAAAGGGTCTGGAATTTTCTTTTGCGAAGGACAGGATTATCTAGGACTGGAAGAGTCAGGAGTGTTCTCCCTATTCCATGTGACTGATTTCATCTCCTATCCTAGTAGTGCCAGCTGATTACCTTGGCTCGTCTCAACTAGTGCAGTGCAGCATGGGAGCCCATATTGTACCCGTGGTTCATTACAACTCTTCAGAGGAAGCCCAAATGCCAAAACGGTTCAGGCCATCTGACCACAGTGTGGTAGTTCCATCAGATTTGTGCTTGTTTTGGGGCACAAGTTGAATTCTGTCACAGTTGTACCTGGTTTCTTTCCAGGGGAGTAAACGATTTTCTCCTAGAATACTGCAAGCCATTCAGGGATACTTTTACAAGTAGTACCAACAAATCTTTTGCTCGTTGATTGTTAATTTCCCTCTGTAGTTTTGCAGTTGATCGCTTGAAATGGTAGGGTTTTGACTCCTGTACATGCACCTACTTTATTTGTACAGCTTTCTCCTAAATAAAGGGTTTTAAATATGTGTATTTAAACACTGAAGTCCAGAGATTGCTGTCAATTATTCCTGTTCTTTCAATGTGTACTTCGTTGAAGTCTCCACATGAATAGATGCAAACTTCCACATCGACACTATTTATCTCATCATTAAAATACTTGCAAATGTTATGCTTTGTAACTGTGTTTGCAACAGCATATTAAGTTCATAGTTTCTCATGAACAACCACCTTGGTCCTGAAAAACTAATTTTAATGTTGGTGGCATTTTTCCAGTATGATTTTTACAGTGTTACATAGATTTTTAGAATGGACTTTTTTAAAATTAATGCTCATGCAGAATATTTCACCTTTTCCTGTAACCCCAAACTTCATTTTGTTTTCTACGAAACAGTGAAAAAGGATGATCAGTGATGTATTCTTCCTGACCTCCTGTCTTTGTGAATGGGCTTTTGTGACTTTCTCAATGTTGAGACTGAAAAGTTCTGTTTTCCAAACAAATACTAAACATTGAAACAAGATTCTCACTACTCAGTGGCGTGAGATCTTTTTGGATGGATTAGCATTCAACAACAGCTCAGTATTACTTAATCTCACCGCATTCAAATGGAGTGACCCACTCCATCTCATTTGGAATTTGTACTAGACCCCAGAATTTCTAACATGAAATGGAGAGCAGGTTCCTGGCAATTCGAGTTTGCTGCTCATTACCCAGAACTCCACCTTGAATGCCAGCGCTAACATCTCAGAGTATGCACCATGGACATCAACTGCACATAGTCCATGTTCAAGGATATTAGCTTCGGACACATATCAGCATCAATGCATTATTAGGACACATCACTTGCACTTCCGTCTGCAGTTCAATACTGCAGTTTGTAGCCCAGGCAGCTCTTACCGCAATGCTGCTTTAAGGACATTTCTGCAAAGGCCATACACCCAGCTCATGAAGTAGACCAGGCTTTAACTCCAGGCTCCTGACTCACCCTCTTAGCACTCACTCACCTTTTGCCTACTTGAATGCTCACAGCATCCATGCCTTGCCCTACCTTCAGCGGCGCTCTAAAGGCTGACAGTATTTTTGTCTGGCCTTAGTGTTTAGCACAGACACAAAGTCTGGCAGATTGTCAATCTCACACGTAGAAGATACATTGACAGTTGGACTGCACACGCTTCAACCCAATAGTTATGTCTCAAAGTCAAAGGGAAACAATCAAGAAGGGGACTGCCATCAGTCAGGGCATCCCAAAATAGGCAGTCAAGTTCATTGTTCACTAGCATTTCAGAGGATTTAGCACAGTTAGGTGGTCAGGGTTGGGACTCCGTCTCACTACAGTCCGAGTAAAGGGCCATGGTCAGTTCTTCAGATCCAGTGCAAACAGTGAGGAACTTGAAGAGACCAGTCAGGGGTCTGGTCATTCATCAGTTGGGACTGGCCATCCAAGTCAGTCAGAATGTGAGCCACAGTCAGTCCAAGGGGTTAGCTGAGTGAAAATCAAGAAGGTTTGCCAAGGGACACTGCAATGCAGGCAAATATGGGAAATCTAATGCTGGAGATTGGAGGCAGCAGTGTAGATAGAAGCAAACCAAGATGGTAAAGGGTGAAATTAGTCGTATGAAGGGTTGGAGGAGCATTCAAGCTGTTAGCGCAATAATGCATGCAGCAATACCTACAGAAATGAACTATTTATCCTTGTTGGTCACCCCATCTTCATTGCATCTTTCCTTTACCTAGTGCAGCTACACAGTCTTATCTCAATGGCTACTCTCAATGGTTGTTGGAAGGGTCCTGATATTTATGAGGGAAGCCTGCTAATGTTCCAAAAGGAGTGACCGCGAGCATCCCAGATCCACACAAATCAGTCACTGAATCATTGTATCCTGCTCCAAGCATTGTCAAACTTATACCATAGGATGATGAAGTGATGTTCTCCACCTTCAATAGGACTCTTGTAAATGTCACTAGTACTGAGTCCCCTTTGAACGACATCCATCTCCTTTTAACATTATTGCTGCTAACTTCACCATGAGTGAGAGTGCAATGTTCAATTTGCAATGATCGTGGGGTGGTGCCAGAATTCTAATATCAAGTACATTTACTTTGCATGTATTCTATACAGATGATCAAAAGCTAAAATTTTAAAGCGTATGACCAGTTTGCAACACCTCTTTCATGTATTTGCCCTCTGATCTGTTCGACTTCACACCCCCAGATCTTGAGAATCTACCCTCCTTAAACCATTTGTGTTCCAACTTCTACAAATGCCTTTGCTTTCCTTCCCTATTGACCTTCCCGAGTCCACCTCCCTTTGCTTCCCTTTTGACAAACAATGGATGGATTCCCAGGATGTCATTCGCCCCAGGTCCCCGACAAATGTTTACTAGTAGCCTCAAGATATGACTGACCAGCCTCCTCACTTCTGGCTCCTTGACTAATGATACACAGCTCCCTTGACTGAAAGGTGCTGGTCTGAAAGCTCTTTTTCCCATTCCCAGGACTGTGGCTGGATAAACCTCTTGACCAGTCTAAGGAGATGACTGACTGGAGCCAAGGCCCAGGACTGTTTCCAGACTCCGCTGATGACTGACCAACAACAGATCTCCCCTTGACTGCACTAACAATGAGTCCCTGCCCAGTTTCCAATCTGGCTATTTGGTTGGATATAATTTTATCATGCAGGAAAATAGCATGTGCTGTAGGTGTTGGCTTGTTTGACTGTGCAACTGCACGAAAAAAAGCATGTCATGACAGCAGTAATGATAAATTCGAGGTCTGGCAAGGTGATGAGAGCATGTAGGCTGGCGTTAAGATAGCAAGTGCTAAGACAGCAAATATATTGCCCAGAGATGGTGGTCCAATTCGTGAGCTGTGTTCCTATCCATTTGCTCAAAGTATCCTTGCTGCAGCCTTTCGATGCCAGTGGATCGGTGATAGGCATTAGGGGTTGGCATTTGCTGGATGCCAATGACTATAGATGAGAAGTGCCCATGTATCATGCTCTGAGATGGTGTTCGGTGCTGAAGAACATCGAGGCTGGCTGTGGCCAATGGTGAGCTGCATTCACCAGGTACGTGCTCTGATTTTCAAGTCACATTTTCGCAAATTAAATATCGTTTGGTACATTTGGTAAAATAGAAAGCCAATTTCTTCTTTATTCATTCGTGGGATTAGGTGTTGCTGATTGGGCCAGCGTTTATTGCCTGTTCCTAGTTGCCCTGGAGAAAATGGTGGACAGCTGCCTTCTTGAACCACAGGAGTCTACGTGCTGCAGATTGTCCCATAATGCCAATAGGGAGGGAATTCCAGGAAGCTCTCCCTGAATCCCATGTGATCTAACTTTACCAATTAATCTACCATGCAGAACCCTGTCAAAAGCTTTTCTAAGGTCCAAGTAAACAACGCCTACCACTCTGCCCTCTATCTTTTTGGTTACTTCAATAAAAAAAACTCAATAAACTTCAATAAAAAATTTGTGAGACATGATTTCCCTCGCACAAACCATGCTGACTATACATAATCATCCTTGCCTCCCTAAATGCATGTAAACCCTATCTTTCAGAATCACCTCCAACAACTTAGCCACCACCGATATTAGACTCACAGGTCTATAGTTTCTAGGATTCTCCTTACTACCTTTCTTAAACAATGGTACAACATTAGCCATGCTCCAGTCCTCTGGTACTTTACCCATGTTTATAGATGATGCAAATATTTCTGCTAGAGGTCCTACAAGTTCATCCCTAACTGCCCACAATATCCTGAGATACATTTGATCAGGTCCTGGAGATTTATCTACTTTTTTGTTTTCTAAGACCTCCAGCACTTCCTCTTCTGTAATGTGAACTGTTTTCAAAACGTCAATATTTATTGTCCTGAGTTCTTTAGCCTCCATTTCTTTCTCAACAGTGAAAACTGATGCAAAATATTCATTTAATATCCCTCCCATGTGCTGAATTCAACAGACAGGCGACCTTGTTGATCTTTTAGGGATCCTATTCTCTCTTTCTAGTTGCTCTCTTGCTCCTAATGTATTTGTAGAAACGTTTTGGATTACCTTTAGCCTCATCTGCCAAGACTATCTCATATTCCCCTTTTTCTTCCTGATTTCCTTCTTAGAATGCCCCTACACTCTATGCACTTCAAGAGATTAAATTGATCCCAGTTGTTTATATCTAATATATTATTCTGTCTTTTTTATTCTTGACTAGAACCTCTGTATCTTTATTCATCCATTGTTCCCTAATTTTATCAGCCTTGCCTTTCATTTTAAAAGGAACACAATGCCTCTGAAATCTCATTATCATGCTTTTGAAGGCTTCCCACTTGTCAGTAGTCCTTTCACCTATGAACAGTCTACTGCAATCAATGTTTGAAAGTTCTTGTTTCATATCCTTAAAATTTGCTTTACTCCAATTAAGAAATTTAAATTTATGGAAGACTTATCCTTTTCCATAACTATTTTAAAACTAATAGTGTTATGATCTCTAGACCCAAAGTGTTTCCCGACTGACACTTCAGTCACTTGCCCTGCCTTATTTCCCAAGAGAAGATCATGTTTTACTCCTTCTCTAGTAGGAACATTTACATTTTGGTGTAGAAAATTTTCTTGAACACTTTTAACGTGATCCAAATCTTTAATGGTACAGCAGTCCCAGTCAATGTTTGGAAAATTAAAATCCCTTACTATTCCAACCTTATTATTCTTACATATATCTGAAATGTCTCTGCATATTTGCTTCTCAATTTCTCTATAGTACAATCCCATTAAGGTGAACATCCCTTTCTTATTTCTAATTTCAACCCATATATTTTCGCGAACTGATCTCTCAGAAATATCTTTTCTAATTACAGTAGTAATGTTTACCTTAATCAAAATTGCCACTCCCCTTCCTCTCTTGCCTCCCTTTCTCTCCTTAATATAACATCTAAAACTCAGAACATTGAACTGCCAGTCCTGTTCTTCTCTCAGCCAAATTTCTGCAACAGTTACAATGTCCCAGTCCCATGTTCTGATACATGCTCTGAGTTCATCCACCTTACCAGCAAGACTTCTTGCTTGAAATAAATGCAGCTTAATGCTTCAGAGTTACTTTGTTCTCTAATTTGCTCTTATCTGTCTTTTCTAATTAACTTGCTCTTTTCTGATTCAGACCCATCTTCATCTTTCTTTCTGTTTTCACTGTTACTAGCTCCCCGCAGTATTCCTAGCCTCTGACCTGATCTTGTAGCCACTGTGTGTATGTGGCAAGCCCAGTGAGTTTTTAGTCAATGATAACTCCCAACATGTTGATAGTGGGGAATTCAACACCATTGAATGCCAAAATGGTTAGATAGATTCTTATTGGAGATGGTCATAGCTTGACATTTGTATGGTGTGAATGCTAACTGCCACTTGTCAGCCCAAGCCTGGATACTTTTCAGATCTTGTTGCATTTGAACATGGGCTGCTTCAGTATCTGAAGAGTTGTAAATGTTGCTGAACATTGTGTGATCATCAGCGAACATTTCCACTTCTGACCTTATGATGGAGGGAAGGTCATTGGTGAAGCAGCTGAAGGTGGTTGAGCCTAGGACACCACCCTGAGGAACTCCTGCAAAGAAGCCTTGGAGCTGAGATGACACATCTTGAACAACCACAGCCATTTTTGTATATGCAGGTATGATTTTAGCCAGTGGAGAATTTGCCCCCGATACCCATTAATTCCATTTTGCTCGGGAACCTTGATAACATTCTTGATTGAATGTGGTCTTGATGTCAAAGGCTGTCACTCTCACCTCACCTCTGGAATTCGGCTCTTTGGTCCATATTTGAACCAAGGCTGTAATGAGGTCAGGAGCTGAGCGGCCCTGGTGGAACCCAAACTGGGCGTCGCTGAGGAGGTTATTGCTGAGCAGGTGCTGCCTGATAGCACAGTTGATGACACCTTCCATCACTTTACTGATGATTGAGAGTGGCCTGATGGGGCTGTAATTACCTGGGTTGGATTTTTCCTGCTTTTTATGTACAGATCATACCTGGACAATTTTCCAGATTGTTGGGTAGATGCCACTGTTGTAACTGTACCGGATGAACTTGGCTAGGGGAGCAGCAAGTTCTGGAGCACACGTCTTCATTACTATTGCCCAAATGTTGTTAGGGCCCATTGCCTTTTTGGTATCCAGTGCCTCCAACTATGCCTCCAGACTTAATGAGGTGAGTTGTGACACTAATGAGGCATTTATCCAGCTCCAATCCTTGTTCATTGGCAACTCTCTGCTGCCCAGTTGGAATCTCATCTCGCCACCTGGCAGAGTTATAAGAGATGAAGCCAGTTTCTGTCCACATTGAAACAGGTCTCACTTAACTCCTCATGTGATACTGCATTTGACTTGCTATAGCCCATGATCGCTCATATCCTTATAAGATTCTGCCTATGGATGGAATGACTTCAATCATCATCATGTTTCCTGTTATGCAGGATACGAAGAGGATGAGAACAGTAAAAATCCATCCTGTTTACTCATTGTTCCTCTTTCAGATCTTGCTTTAATGACATATGTCCACTCAACTCTACACCATTCAATGAGCAGATTGTCATTGGTTCAATTACAGACTAGGAAGACAGGACAATGTGTTAGAAATTATTCATGGATTTCATGCTATCACGCAGCAAATGGTACTCGCATCAACAAGAATGCTCATTTGATCATTTTTGGTGTTTCAGGATATGGGGTTTTCCAAAAACCTGGTACTAGGCGTAGGTTTAAGGGCAGCTTTGGAAGATGGAAAGGAGAGATATGAAAGCACATAATTAACTTGATTCATCCAGTTCTCCCATGGAGACCACAAACTAGAGTTTTGGTCCATGTATTTTTCACACACTTTTTCC